TAAACTAAGCATTAGACAATCCCAATTTTAGTTTTGGCTGCTTCACAATCTATCTGTGTACTGATAATAAGTCACTTTACTTGGATGAGCTTCAGCTATTTATCTATAAAACTCGAGTGTGGAGAATGCATCTGGAATAGGCGATTGTAAAAAGCTTTCACGAGTCCAAAGATTTGTGATTCTATGAAACACCTATTTGTGTCAACTTCCCAATTTAAAATCATACTAATGACATCTGCCGCCAGATACATGTTGCACATCTCCGAACTGAAAGGAGACCTCAGCAGTAGCAACAGGAGTGGCTAAAAAACACAATAAAAAGATGCAAAATCCTTTTCTCCACCAAACACAAGATGTCAGCCTCTGAGCTTCTCTCTATTTTCACTTCCTCCTCTCCTCAAGCTCCAGAGTGCAGCGCTCTCGCCTTGATTTTCTTATTTCGGCCAACTTCCTCTTGCCCCTGAAAGTTCTTCTTTCCCCCCCTTCATTCCCAATTAGGTTAAACTGCTCTACCACACAGCTGGGATACATATTTAAAACTAACTGAAATAATAGTCTAGGCTTCAAGGATTAAAGACACCTTATTACTTATCAATGTATGACACCCCCCCCCACTGGCCAACTAACTCCTAGTGTAGCAGTTTTCGTACACTACAAAGTGCAAAGGAACACAGCATTAAGGGTGGGACTGCCAGCATTATGGGGGTCCCATAACAGGTTGGTCTGAGACACAAACTGATGGAAAGTCATTTAGGCATACAATGTGCGAGACGATTTTATCTTCCTTTACAGAGCATTCTTTTCACTTATAGGACCGATATAATTAATTTGGACATCTCTCTTGTTCAACTCCCAATGGGTTGATATATTTTAAAAAATATTGTGTATTCTGTTTGATTAGGAAAACAGCACATACACATTGTTAAACACAACACACGATGGACAAAATAGAAATCACCTATAATATCACCACTCATACATAGCCAGGGTATTTCTGCACTGGATCTAATTTTGCATAAGTTATGCTTTACATACTTTTAAAAAAAATTCAGTAGTCTCATTTTATTAAATATTTTTTAAAAATCTGACTTCTAATGAATGCATAACATTTCTTTTACAGGTAGCTATAATTTATTTTATTATTCACAATTGTATATTTATAATATTTTGCTATTTCTCTGTCTCTGTCAAACATGTACTGTGCATGTATCCTAACTTTTTATTAGGAAAAATTCCTGAGAATGAAGTCATCCTGTTAAAATATGTGATCAGGGTACTGATATTTTTTAAGTCAAATTTTAACTTTATGTGCCCACTATCCACCTAATAAATCTACCATATAATATTAAAAACATAAAATGAAACAAAACCAAGCAAAATGCCAACCAACACATACAAATCTAATAAAATATATTGCTATAGACATCTAAATTATCTGCCTCACTGGGTATTCTGAACTTTCAAGATCTCAAATAAGAGCATAAATTCAGAAAATAGCCAAGACTTTATGAAAATGGGATATCACATAAGGTACTCTGCATAAGACACGCTGAATGACGCACTCATGCATTTATAACCTGTTCTGTGTGGTCACTTGGCTATAAGAATAAAAAGGAAAAACATCATGCTAGACTTAGGAAAGTCAATCTACAAACAAAAACCCTGCGTATGCCTTTTTGTTCAGCATTATTAGGCTAGAGAAGAAGAGAAGGAAAGCAACAATAGATGTATTGGATCTGGTGCTTTAGAACTTAGTATCAAGATCCAATTATGATCCCACTTTAGATCTTTAAATCTCTTTTCCTTGGGCACACATCATCAAACTGACCCTAAATATCTATTTCTTATCTCCTCACTGTCTTCAGCTCCAATTTTTTCTCTTCTCCTGAATAAAAATTTCTACTCTTCTAACATAATATTTTGCATTCTTATCTTAAATATTCGGCAGTTAAAATTGCATTCCTGTAATTATAATTATAACTAATAGACCTTCCATTTCCCATGTCATAATTAATGTCAGGTTTTATTAGAGCACAATCATGTTGCCTTTTCCTTAACAAGGCTTATTTTATTTTCATAACACTTATGGTATATTTAATTAAGAAACAGAAAGTCCTAGAGGCCTACTGAAAGGATAATCTTTGGATCATAGATGCTGAGTTCTCCTTAGATAATTTTTTTTGCATTGTTTTGAAATCACATATAAACTATTTTCTAATGTGCTATTTGTTCAACATTCATCAACAGGTGAAAAAAGAAATCAGTGATAAATACATTAAGTTTCCTAAAAGGTTATTTAATGTGCTCTCAACAAAGATGAAAAAACTAATAACAAAACAAAATATCTAGAGATTATACTTGTTGATTACAATGCATAACAAATACAGATGTGCCAACTTAATTGCAGCAATTTGGTGGCCTGTAAAATACATTTTAATACCCACAGATTAATTTTTCATAGGCTCTGGTTACACTGTTACTACATTTCTTTTAAACCCTATTCAAAAGATACAATTTTACTACTTAAGTATTTAAGCAAAACAACTATCCAATTGGCAATATTGAAATTAGAATTCAAAGTTGTGGTGTACAACTTTGGCTACTTAAAATATAATTTAGAGGGGAGAAAATGACGAAAATTAACAACTGCTCAAATATTAAACAAATATTTTACAAGTCATTTGCAAGATATAAGGTACATTTACAAAACAGATGCCCAAATATAACCTTCAACAAAGGATGCTGGACTATGCTTTTAAGGCTTATTAGTGACTAAATCTGTGCTTGTGAGGGTGAGACAGTGACTGACTTCAACATCCATATTATGATTATGTTTGGTAATAATGCAATTTGCTCTCATGAGAATCTTTAAATCACTTTTTAATTGGGTTCACATCTCCTCAAGAAAAGTTATATATCCTCAATACCATGCTACATATAATTGTATATGTAATACAAATGTAGGGAGAATATATACATAGAGCAAATCACAGAATCAGTAAGAATTTCAGTGTTACTATTTTGGGTATCATAAATATAAACACATTTTTAGAAGGCCCAAAATCTTTTTAAGTGACAATTTAAACAAGTCCTTTTGAATGACTATTTGAGCTAGTTTATATGGTTTCCATACAAAGTTTCTTTTTTTATATGAAGTTTCTTGAAATTATGAGGAATTTCTTAAAAAGTTGCAAAGTAAAATGGGGTTTGGGGAATAAGGTTTATTTCAGTTAGCAGGATTTGAAATGTACAGAGAGATGTATCCTACTTATAATGAAAGTCCATGACAGTATAGAGTTTGTAATTATAAACATCAATGGACAAATATAAAAGATTCTAAACTGAAACTACAGTGGGACATTTTGAGATAGTCCCCAAATTATAAGTTCTGGGACAAGAATTCAAAAAAGACCCTCATACCAAATGTTTATATTTTTAAAATCATAAATCAAACAAATGAACTGATAAATGCATTATCTCTTCTCCATCTTTGAAAACATACCTAGCAACCTGGCAGCTTGGTCCAATTTAGCAGTTGAGGAAATCTCTAACAATAGATATGAAAGAGGATGATGCACAGAGAGCTGGTATCCAGTCTCCAGAACCTAGCCCACCTCTTTTCCTGCCTCTATTCCTATTCTTCAATCCAACGTTGTGCCACACTGTGGGGACCTCACACACACTTGTGGGCACATTTCAGTTCCTTCCTTATCCCCTCACAAAGCTGCCCTTAGACACCTTTGGACCTAGGGCTAGAACAAGAGCAGTGTGCCTGCCTGCAATGAACTTTCTCAGGCCCTGGAAGTAGAGTCAAGGCTAACTGAAAAGAGAATGTATGGATCTTAGGGAGCTGGTGTGCTTTCTAGAAGCTGAAGCATGCCTTGGGGTGGTCAATTCCCATAGTCCTTTGAACTTCTTGCCCAATGAGGAAGAGTGCAGTCAAAAAATGACCAGAGAGAGACTTCTTAAGTAGGGATTTCTCCTGGTAAGTTTTAAGGGTAGTTCACAATACAGCAGCTAATTTTATGCAAGTTGGAAACTCAACACCTGGAGATAGTTTTCTTTACTCAAGTAGACCGATATAAAAACTCAGCAGAGTTATTACCACAGAAGCAAGAGTTCCTTCATAAATAATGTCCAAAACTTTATGTTCAGGTAAGAGGAAATAACACCATTTTTAAAAAGATGGGTGTCCACAACCATCTATTGACCACAGATACAATAATGTTTATGATAATATTTTGCAGGTCATAGTGCCCTTCTTATAAACATGGGTTTTATTTCATACATCTTTTCAAAATACCAAAGACATATGAAAGACACATGCCCTGCTTTTGTAGATTATAGCAGGAAAAACTCAAAGATGAGTTAAGCAATTCTTTCGGTGTCAAGGTTCAATTGCTGTCGAGGAGAGTGGTAATATTTGGAAAATATTTTAAACCCTCTCTCTCTCTCTTTTTTTTTTTAAGGAAATATCTCTCTCTGCTTAGTGTACTGCTTTCTAGCTCACTGAGACAAAGTTAAGCTCTATGAACAAACTGAATCTGCAGTTTGCCAAGAATACATAAGTATTCTTACTTCTGAACCCTTGGAATCTTTGCCGTCAATAATTTTTTTAATGTTATAAGCAATACGAGTTCAGAAGAATGGTACTTTCTGTAAACATTGTTATTAAATGGCACTACAGTAGCAAAACAGGAAGAAAAAAAAAGAACAGAATCAAAAAAAAGAAAAAGTAAAACATTTCCCTCTTGGGAGGAGAGTGTGCATAAATCTATAAGGTACACTTTTCTCTGAACTTGTTTTATTTCCAGATGCTATTTCAACCATCACTTCATGCCAAAATGATATGATAGTCCAACTCTTTCCCTATAGATAAAGTTTCAATGAAGGGATAAAATCAGAAAGGAGCTACCCAGTCTGACACCAAAACAAACCAAAGTGACAAGGGGAGTGAATAGAGCCTCCTTGAATATAATTTCGTCAAAGCACGAGCCTACCTGAGTCATATGCAAAATCTCTGGGTTCCTGTTTAATCATCAGAGGAGGGGGAAAGCTTTGGCTGACGGCACCGCCAACCATGGTGCTGTGCTCATACACTGGGTCGTGGTACTCCTGCTTAAAACCTTGTGGTGGAAAGGGAATGTTTGGCTCAGACATCTGGCGTTGGTACATAGGACGTCCTTCCCTTGGCATTGTCGGCAAAGGAGGAAAGGAATTGCAGGGTTCAGAAAGCTGGCGGCGAAATCTAGGGAATAAGAGAGTACGTTTCAGATGATATTGCAATATGGAATATTCTTTCAAACACTGCCACGATTTTTCACTGCTAAGTGACTGAACATGACACCAAGTGATTCCAAGTGTAAATCTTTAACTAACATTAGATTTTTCTTCTTTCCTGGGTTAGTAGCACTATGCTTTTTAAATCAAATCATGCCTTGTGTTCCCCTTCTAGTCAGTCCCTTGCCAGTTGGCCATTGCAGTACATGAATTCAAGCGCATGTCTTTGAACAGAGCGAGGAGAACAATACATTATTTTGGGGAATAGATGCAGATATATATTATCTATCTATCTATCTATCTATTCTCTATCTACCTACCCTAAAGGCTAAAAATGTCTAGTTCTAATTCAATTGGGATCATTTATATAACTTCCATTATGATAAGGGCCTCAAATAATTACATGGAAGAAAAAAAGGGAAAATAGAATCTAATCTCACATTGCATTCTCTGTCTCTTAATTATGTTACCAAACTAATCACAAACAAAAAACCCAATCAACTAAACACCTACTCATTGGTTTTCCTTCCATTACCATCCATTACTGAAAAAACAAAGTGGAATGACTCTTTTCTCAAATCAAAAAGTCTTTTAAAATTCCTCAACAATGTCCTAAATTATCATTGTGTTCTAGTAAGAAGTAAAACCAGAGATTGCAGGGACTCAAATTCAAGGTGTTTTAAAAGGATCACCTCTTTACTGTCAAACAGCATCACAGACTACATTGGTTTGCAGTCACTTCAAACAAAATATCAGGTTGTTAACAATAAGCATGCACATACAGCTGACCTCCAAAGATGGAACTAACATATATGTGTTGCATAGATTTGGGGCAAGTTGTGCTCTGAGCTCCCAAGGAAGTTCTGAGGACTTGGCAGAAGGCTGAAAGTGAGTCCTAGGTTTCTTTGTTCTTGACTCCTGGGTAATGATTGGCTGATCACATAATTGTTCTGTTCTGTGTTTCTCATCCATAATATCATTGACCCACCACAAAGATGCAGATTAATTAAAGATTTAAAAGTGCTCTAAAAATGCCCCAGGAGTGCTTAAAAATAACCCATAAAACATTTCTATGGGTAAATCTAAGCCTATTAACCCCACCCCCACACTAAAAGCATTCCTGTGACTTTAATTTGGAAAGTTAGCATTTAATTTCGGTAATGTTAAATGAAAATAAGGTAAAAGCTAAAGAATGGCAAAGCAATTGCTTTAGCATTTCTAAGAACATTCCATCCTGTGATTTAACTTGAGGCTCACTGGCGGTCATAGAAAGCACTGAAATTCCACCTACACCTGCAGAAAATAAACTTAGAAATCCGAATATTGCAAAACTGTTAGGCTGACTGGCAGTGCATTCATTTCCCTTCCCTTGCTTATTTCATTAGCCAAAAAAAGAAACAGAAATTATCATTAAGAACTGTCAAGGAGTGAATCAGAAAATTGTAACTTGAAGTTAAAATAAGAAACGGGCTCACTTGCGAAGCCTTAAAAGGAAGTTAATAACACTGGCACTGAAAGCTTTGTAAGGAATCAAGTCGTTTGTTTTTACGAGTCAACCTGATTCCAGTGGGTGGCTGCTGGGGAACATGTATACATCAAACACACACACTTCCCGGGAAACTGCAAGGTGTTGGTGCCATTCTGGTGAACCACTGATGGATGGTGAAGAAAACGAATTCAAGAAGCTTCTGAAAGAGAGTTAATGGGTAAGGAGAGCGTGCTGATGAACTCTTAGATAAAGAAAGACAGGGTCTGCGTGGTAGAAGTGCTGGGAAAAAGAGCCAGGGTTCCTGCACAGTGGGTTCAGGAAAAAATGCCAAAGGGCTGGCCCGAGGAGCAGAATGAGACTGAGGGAAGGAAGCAGGGGGCTGGCCAGTTGGCCATAAAGCATTCCCAGAGTGAAGTGGGAGCCTGGGCTAGAGGGGGTGTTCTGGGGAAAAGATCTGTTCCCAGAGCAGAATTGCCATTTATATCTGAGGGATTGTCATTTGTTGGCCAGAGCCCTCTAAGAAATCCTCCTCAGAAACATACGGCTTCGGAGATTTTCCTGGGATTGGCCAGCTGGTACTGTCCTCAAAACTCAGTCGGGGGCCAGTGGGAAAAGACCCTGAACTTCCCTCTTGGAGTTCCGGGCCGGCTGTTCTCAGTCTCAAATATTTGACTTCAAGTGGAGAAACTAAAATGGATTTGGCGAAAACATTTCAAGTTAGGTCACCTAAAAACAGGCACACTGCTTATTCAGCAGTCACCTTCCCTGAGAAAAAAAGTCAACTACACAATCTAGAATTCCGGCACTCAGTTGTCAAGGACTCTGGGAAGGCACCAGAAGAGACAAAATAAAACTTGTTGTTTTTGTTCAAACTCTTTCTTTTAGCCCTGCACAATGTGCATCTGTTTAATGGCCCACCCTGCAATAAGAATTCTTTCATCTGTATTTACAAAACTGTTTACACAGATGCACATACCATTACACTCTGACACAGTCTCAAGTCTATGGAGTAAGAAGGGAATGATCATAGGAGGCCTTTAATAACTGAAATACAAGAGAACTTAGTGATGGAAACAAAGGTAGAAAAGATACGGCTTAGGATCACATTGGGAAGAATGCTTTCATGTTATGCCTTTATAGCAAAATGAGTTACTGAATTTGAGATAGAGTCCCATGAAAAAAACTATAAAAAGCAGATTTGAGCACTCCCTTATTTTCAGAAAGTTGCCAGTGGCACCTCTTCTGCTTTTCTCTGTTGATCTAGAAGATTCCTTTGGCTGAGTTATTTTTACAATGGTGTGTCAGAGCCAGTTTTCACTGGCTTATTGTTATATTTGCAGGAAGTTTTTGAGCCAATTGTTAAACGCAGCCATTTTAAAGAATTAAATCCTATAGCTTCACAATCATAAAATATATTAAAAACAAAGGCAAGAAAAAACACAGAACTCATCAGTTCCTAATTATTTTCCTGCCTGTCACTAACTATGTGTTGAGGTTGTGTGTGTCTACTGTATCCGCATGACTATATCACATAGTATGTTATTAGACATCTTTCCAACTCCACACTCAGGGATGTCACCATGAGAGCTCATAGCAGACCATGGGGACAGTATTTACATCATGGACTCAGCAAATCTTTTTTGTTTTTCTCCCATTCAGTCTGTTGTTAAGCACTTACTAGCACACCACTGCTTACACAGAAGCACAAGGTAGAAGGGAGAAAGAGGGAAGGATGATGAAGATAACCAACCTATGTTTTAAATTGTATGTTAAGACAGACTCTCTCAGAACCTCTGAAGGTCTTCCTATGTTTTATTTATATATGAGTTTCTTTATTTCTAGGAGGCAAGAATCACTCACCACAGCATTCAGCCCCATTCTACGCGCTGGTTCATGTCTTGCCCCTTTTTAAATTAATACTAATTCAGTCTCCATCTCTTTAACGGTATATTCTCAGTGTCCAGGGGCACACATCTACTGACAAGAAGTGTCATCACTTGGAAAGGATGTAAATAGTTTTTTGGGGTTTTTTTTTGAGTTGAAGTCTTACTCTGTCGCCCAGACTGGAGTGCAGTGGCACATTGCCGGCCACTGCAGCCTTGACCTGCTGGGCTCCGGCGATCCTTTAGCCTCAACCTTCCAAGTAGCTGGAACTACAGGCACGCGCTACCACACCCAGCTAAATTTTTGGATTTATTGTAGAGATGAGGTCTTACCAAGTTACCCAGGCAGGTCTCGAACCCACGGGCTCAGGCAATCCACTCACCTCAGCCTCCCAAAGCGCGGGATTACAGGCTGAGCCACTGAGCCCGGCAGTAAATAGTTTTAATCAAATAAGTTATATCTGCAAAACTGGGTGCAGCTAAACCATTCACTATAAGGTAAAGAACCTAATTCCATAAGCCACCTACTAAAATTAGTCTCCTAACTTTACAGAACAAGTACACACATATGCTCATAAAAATGGGATGATCTGATTTAAAGTTTAAGTGAAGCAATTTAATTCAAGCAAAGCGAAAGAGAAATGTTCAAATGTCAGTAGATAGATTAATTTTCCATTTTAGCAACCAATTTAAATGTTTATAAAAGGAATGTTTATAAGTGACCTTCTCCACAATTTATTTATAAGTATAGACTGAGCAAGCTCTTTCTAAAAATATTTTGCACAGATGTGCAAAATTAATGGGCTCACCTGAAGTCCACTACAGGTCTTCAGAACTGATCAGAGGGATTTCTTCCAAGAATGCTAAAGGCAGTTTTTAAAGAAACTGTGATCTGCAGATTACCTGTGGTCCATGGGGTAGCTGCTGTCTGGAATGGGCTGTGATGGAGGGAGGGGAGCTGGGAAGGCCCGGTCAGGTTTTGGAGTATGAGTTGAGTTTGGAGAGGCATGATGGAGTGGAGACACTGGAGTGCTGGATGGCGTGGGGGGGTTGGAGGGCCTCATTCCCACTTGTGGCTTCTGATCATAGGCACTATCCAAGAGACAAAAGGAAAGAGAATGTTCAATTATTTGGAGAAATTAAAAAATTCAATCAAAAGGAAGAAAAAAATATTGTAGGCTTAAGTCAAAAGGAAGTTAAAACTTTATGTGGTTTTTAAAAAATTCTAGAACATGTAAACTTTGAGATCACCACACCCTTAACCAGAAAATAGGATACATATAACAAAACCTTGAAACGGCACAAATATAAAATGTGTTTTGTTTGTTTGTTTTGAGTCGGGATCTTACTCTGTTGCTCAAGCTGGAATGCAGTGGCATGATCAAGGTAGCCTTCTAGGCTCAGGTGATAATTCCACCTCAGCCTTCTAAGTAGCGGGGACTACAGGCATGTGCCACCATGCCTAGCTAAGTTTTTAATTCTTTGTAGAGACAAGGTTTCACTATGTTTCCCAGGCTGGTCTCAAACTCCTGGGCTCAAGCCATCCTCCCACCTGGCCTCCCAAAGTGCTGGAATTATGGGTGTGAATCATTGCACCTGGCCTAAAACACATATTTTTAATACATATGCAAACAATTTAGTATAAGAAAAATCACTGTCCAAAAAAGCAATGGCATTTTTTTCCCCATGAATTCTTGATATATGTTTTTAAGAAAGTTTGATAGATCTTTCCCAAATCATTAAGTAGTTCTAATATTCTAACTCTTATATTAGTATAAAGATTTTAAAACTATCATCAGCTTAATAAGATGGAGACTATATCTGGCTTGCATTTATTAGTTGTGGAATTTTAAGATGGTAGTACTTTTCCTTTGTTTTTATTTTATTATATTAAACAAATGATGCTTGGCATTGACTTCCTCACATAGGATAATGAAGATTAAGGAGGTAAATTTAAATGTCTCTGATTTTTTAAACTTTCTTGGAGAATGACCACAAAATAATGTTATTAAGAATAAAATTCTATTGTAGTCTAACTTCTAAACACTCACAATTACAAAAGAATAAAATGAGTTTGCCTGATTTTATATTATGAATTTAAATTGCTTTCCTATCTGTAGCATTCAGGAATGTGATTTAACTTAATTTTGTAAATCTATAATATACTAAACTAAAACCAAATTTTACTTAAATTTCTGAACACAGGACAATTGCTAGGTTAAAATGCTGTGCTTCCTTTTCAAATAAAAAGCATTCATCAATACACATTTTTTCTTTTAAAAAAATTGGAGGCACAACTCCTCAACAAGGGTAACTGCACAATGAATATTTGTATACCTAACCCTGAATTGTACCCCACAATTTTAAAATAATTTAAAAGTTATAAAAAAGATTACTTTTTGAAATGACTTGTGTAATAATTTATCCTGCTACTCCATCAATACAACAGAATTCTATACCAAGTGCAGAAATACTTTACAGGAGTCAAGGGGTATGTGCCCACCCTTACTTTAACGCAAAATCAAATCAACGGTATTCATAGAAAGAACCACATACTTGGTTCTACCTATGATCTTGATCAATGCCTCTGAATAAAATCCCACTTTGTGTATGAAACGGTTCAACTAACTCATTCCCCTGAATGAAGAAAAAAGATACTGTCCTATTACTACTTTTCTCCAATGAAATGTTGTAATAAATTATATTGTTTGCATAGAGATGGAAGTACCAGAATTTACTGCATATACCATATATCACTGTGAGACTTATTGGTTTTCAAAAAGAAACTCAAAATCTTCAGGTAATTCCTCCACTGCTAATTTATGGATATCAGACATGGCACATAAAACAATGGTGACTTCATAATCACAGTTCTGATCATTGTTGAAATGGTATGACAATTCTATATCTAACTGGCCCATTGATTAGAAATTCCTCAATATGTTAAAGGATTATGCTGTGGATACACAGCCCTCATAAGGAGAAAATGCAAAAATAAAACCAAACTATAAAATAAAGCTCAGATTGATCAATACTGTCTTATCTGAACTCAGTGTGTTTTAATAGCTAGCTTCTACATGAAATCTTTCTTTATAAAAGCTTTGCAGTTTCAATTGAGCTGGCTCATAATTTCAGGCTCTGGTGAACCTCTTAGAAAAGCAAATATAAAAGACAAGTTTGCAAGAACAAATAGTAATAGAATATCTAAGCACTGGCCAGCTGCTGTGATGGCACAAATCTAAGTTTCTGGAATCTTACACATCTTGGATTTAAAGAATATATGTAGCAATCGGATGAAGAAATAGAAGACCCTTTTGGATCATAATGTGCTATGAATCTGAATTGATATAACTTATAAAACAGTGCAAATACTTGTAATCATTTTTATAAGTTTCCAAACTAACTCCATTTAAGAACCAAGTTTCTACTGCAATTGAGAGTACTAATATTCAATAGATAGTGCCAACTTTTTTCTTTATGCAATTAAAGGCCAATATGAAAAGCAGCAGCATGCAATTTATTGTGAAGGGTTTTTAATGAACATATATGTTATCAAATTCTCTAACAAATGAACAATGTACTTTTACTGCACCACCCTTTTATCATCAGAACAACTGGCTTTTTAATAGATAATAGCCTCTGCTAAGCCTTATGAAATTCTAGTTTTATTGCAATTGTCCACGAACTTATCTTATAGATCATCTACAAAGCCTATCAGATAACTAATGCACTGCTTAGACCTGCCAAATGTTTCATTTTTTTTCTACAAACTCTCTACCTAAAGTGCATAATGCATTCATTCTAATGGGAACTTTCAAAAGCTGCTTGTGCCAAACAAGACCCCTATTTTCAATCCCAAGATGTATCACTTCAGTAGAAAAGTTACTGCTGATATGGATGAAAATTATTGCTTCAAAATGAATTTAAAGTGTGTAATGGTAAACGGTTCTTTAGAGGTCTGCTAAACGCATTACCTAATTTGCTTTTTACATACTAAAGATGTAACTCATAAAATAGGACTTGAAACTCTTTTATGTTATTCTGGAATTTTTGTTTCAATGAGAACCACCACCCTATATACATGCATCTGGTTGCTTTACCTGACATTGTACAGGCACTTTTCTCCATAGCTGAATTTAAAGGGCTGTTCTTGACTGCAGGCAGAGCCGAGTTCTGAACATGGACTGTGGGGTTCTTTCTTGATTTTCAGTGGTAAGCCATGAAAAGCCACTAGAAAACAAAACAAAAATACCCATAAAAATTAAATGCAGCTAGAAATTTATTATGTAAATCTGTTCTATCTCGCTCATTAAATTGTCATTAACATTTCACATTAAATTACATAGGTAATAAATATCACATTTAATACATTTCAGTGGCAGAAAAGGTTCTGGAGAATCACTGTACCCTCCTTTTCTGCTTTTACTACATAACACAATGCATGCTTGAATTTTCTCTTGTTACTTAAAGTAAAGTAAATCATGTGTCATTTGCTTAGCTGATAAGAACAATGCTAGAAGCTCAGATTTGAGAAAGCAAATTTTGAAAATATTTCAAAAAGAACTGCCATGACTAAAGCAGAAAAGATACGAATCATTATCCAAGAATCAGTAGAAGACTAGAATATATTTTAAGCATGATTGAAAGAAAAATATACCAAAAACATCAATAGTGGTTTGGTGAAATGACAACTGGACTGTGACAAAGGGAATCCAGTCTGGAGGTGACTATGATGCTTTGGGCAAAAAACTCAATGTCTTTGAGGTCAGTGCCTATCTATCACATAGAGATTAGAGTGCCTGCCTACCTACTTACCAGAATTGTGAAGATGAAATGTGAGGGATATGTGGAAGATGTTTGTCACATGTAATCCACCACAAAACAATTATTCTAATATCAAGTGATGTTTTCAACTTTGTTCGGTGACTTAGTGTATGAAGATGCTTATGTTTGTTTATTGTTAATAAAATGCAAAGGTTATATTATAAAATATGAAGACTAGAAGAAGTATGAATGGGAGATTCATAGTTTTAAAACCAATAAATAACATCCTGTACACTTATATTTTTCTATATGAAACTAAAAAAAATACATATTAGAGATCCTATTAGAATAATCAAAGTTTCGCCGGGCTCGGTGGCTCAGCCTGTAATCCCGCGCCTTTGGGAGGCTGAGGTGAGTGGATTGCCCAAGCCCGTGGATTCGAGACTCTCCTGGGCAGGCGAGACCTCATCTCTACAATAAATCAAAAAATTAGCTGGGCGTGGTAGCGCGCGCCTGTAGTTCCAGCTACGTGGAAAGCTGAGGCGGAAGGATCACCGGAGCCCAGCAGGTCAAGGCTGCAGTGGCCGGGAGCGGCCACTGCACTCCAGTCTGGGTGACAGAGTGAGACTCCAACTCAAAAAAAGAATAATCAAAGTTTCAGCAGAAGTGGGACAGTCATTTAAAAAATGGGAAACATAGGCATAAGAATAGACGTTGTTTTTATGTACAATGCCCACAAATTATTCCTCAAGGAATAAGCATAAAGAAGGCACACATTCTGGAGATTTATTCTAAATCCTAAAAATACTGGAATTAAAATACAATATGGTAAGTCTGCATTCTATAATGGAAGATGTGACAAGAGAAATTTTTTATGATGCTATACACCTTGATTATGCCATCACAGCATTATAAACTTCTATTAGCTTGAATGCCATATATAATCTTAATAAAAAATTAGATATCATGAACTACCAAGTTTCAAGAAAATAATATTTGCTTGCATATTCACATAATTTTGACAGAAGTATTCAATGGCACTCAAGTCCTATCTGAAATATCTGAGAAAACACATTTCCCAAATAAGCAAATTTTGCTTAAATTAGTGATCTAAAAAACTTAATAATTTTACTTAAATTAATGATCTAAAAAACTTGATAAATAATAATAATAGCTACTGGTCTATTTCAAAGTATTTTCTTTTCTTTTTTTTTTTTTTTGAGTTGGAGTCTCACTCTGTTGCCCAGACTGGAGTGCAGTGGTCGCTCCTGGCCACCGCAGCCTCGACCTGCTGGGCTCCGGCGATCCTTCCGTCTCAGCCTTCCAAGTAGCCGGAATTACAGGCATGCGCTACCACATCCGGCTGATTTTTTTATTTATTGTAGAGATGAGGTCTCGCTGCCCAGGCGGGTCTTGAACCCGCGGGCTCAGGCAATCCACTCACCTCAGCCTCCTAAAGGCGTGGGATTACAGGCTGAGCCACCGAGCCCGGCTCAAAGTATTTTCTTAGTGTAATGTGTAATGTGTATGCTTACACATACACACGTGCTTAATATGCCTAGTCAAAGAGTAATATGCTTATTCTGTAAGAAATTTGTCACTCAGTATATACTTGTGTGCTCTGTGTATGAGTATACTCCACCTTAGAATAACAAACACTGAATGACACATCCTTGTAATACATTAACCAGACGTTTGCTGATTTTTTATACAAATAGTTTTCAAATATTTATTATACATTTGCATCTTTAATACCCAAATGTGTATTCACAAGTTTTAGTACCTTGGATTAAGTATTGGGTTTTACATTTTCCTGAGAAAAAGCAGTAGTAACATACAGAATTCAATTTAAGTAACAAATCATACTATACCTGAGAAATCAGATCAAGTGTATATGAATACAAATTGATAAGACCTCTATAGCTAATAAATATGCAGTATGATGTGGTTTATCATATTTATAAAAATGTCAAGCATATTAGAGGTTATAATGTTTAATAATATTACTATATTTTAAGTATTGAGAATGACAAAGTAGGAGAAGATTTGTGAACAGAATACAAAAAGCACTAACCATAATGAAAAATAAAAATCTACAAATTAGGCTTCATTGATATGAAGAGCTTCCATTTTTTAAAAGACTCAATTAAAAGAATGCGAAGTAAGCTACAAGCTATAAGAAGATGCTTGCAATAGAAGGATCTGATTAAAAACTCATATTTAACATAATAGGAACTGCTACAAATCAATAAGACAAGTGGCCCATTTAGAGATGGGTAAAAGACTTGAACAGGCAGGTAGTTCAGAAAAGATGATATTCAAATAACAAAACAGACTACAACAACAACAAAAACATATGAAAGGATATTCAAAATCATTATTCATGAGAAAATTACAAATAAAACCACATGAGATCATCACTATATACCTGCTGAAATGACTAAGCTGCAAAAGATTGACACTGCTAAGTTTTGGTGAAGACATAAAACAATGGGAATTTTACACATGTTGCTGAGAGTATCAATTAGCTATAACCACTTTGGAAAACATCTTAGCAATATTCACTAAGGCAACATAAATCTACCCTATGAACCATTAATTATGCCTATAGGTATATATTCAATACAAGGGAGCATATATGTTCACCTAAAGTCATGTGTGAGAATGTTCAAAGAAGTTTTCTTTTTTTTTTTTTTGAGTTGGAATCTCTCTCTGTCACCCAGCCTGGAGTGCAATGGCTGCTCCCGGCCACCGCAGCCTCGACCTGCTGGGCTCCGGCGAGCCTTCCGCCTCAGTTTTCCAAGTAGCCGGAACTACAGGCGCACACTACCATGCCCAGCTCATTTTGATTTATTGTAGAGATGAGGTCTCACCAAGTTGCCCAGGTGGGTCTCGAACCCGCGGGCTCAGGCAATCCACTCACCTCGGCCTCCCAAAGGCGCGGGATTACAGGCTGAGCCACCGAGCCCGGCTTTCAAAGAAGTTTTTTATTTATGACAGCAAACACTGGAAAAACTCAAGTATTCACTAACAAGAGAATAGATAAATAAATCACAGAGCATTCATACAATGGAATGAATATTATGCAGAAATAACAAGGGATGGATTACCTACCCACGATACATGCAAAAACATAGGTGGTCTCACCGATGTGAAGTTGAATAAAAGAAGCCATACACAAACAATATCCAGCATATGAATTTTAAGAACAGAACGAACTCAAGTAAGAGTGAAAGAATCCCCTTCTGTTGGTGGATGGGAGTGTTATTGATGGGGAAGGGTCATTCATAAACTACTAAAGTGCTAGCAACATTTTTTATATTGCTTTGGGTTGTGGTCATATGGATATACATATATGTTGAATTCATCAAGCTGCACACAAGATTTTTTTACATAATAATAAATGTGTACCTCAACAAAAAGGACAAAAAATCTGAGGGACATCAATTAAAGCTATACAAATTAAGATATTTGAACATGTGTGGCCTCCTGGTTCAGCTGAGACATCCGAAAATGAGCTTCAGCTTCAGAGAAGAAATTATTCCAGATGGGTAGGGAACAAAGTGAATGAGGAATGGCAAGTCTGGGGTGCCACCAGGAATGGTCACTAGCATACCAATAGCCTCCTATCAAAATGTCCATTAGCATTGACCTAGAAGCAAAAGACATCTATGGATGGACATGCTGTTTGGAGTTTCACTGCCTTCAGACTGGGCCAATGAGCTTCCTGAACTGACCTTAGAAGAAAAGGCATATCTTAATCAGGCTGCTGTAACAAAAGTACAAAATAGGCTGCCCAGACAAAAATAGATGGTTTATAAACAAAAGAAATATATTGCTCACTGTTCTGGAGGCTGGGAAATCCAACGTCAAGGCACCAGCTGGACCAGCCCTCAGGGCTGACTTCCTGTTTCATAGATGGCCATCATCTCGCTTCAGTATCACAGGGTAGAAGGTGCACGGGAGCTCTCTGGGGTCCCTTTAATAAGGTCACTAATCCAATTTATGAGGGATTAGTCTACCCTCATGATCTAAGCACTTCCCAAAGTCTCCATCTCCAAATACCATCACATTGGGAATTAGGTTTCAACACTTGAATTTTTTGGTCGGTGGGGGGACCACAAACATTCAGTCTGTTGCAGGGTATATGAATTCTCAGTGGTAACAGAGAACAAGTTGATCCATAAATACAGGATCCCTGAACCTAGCCCACCATCAAATTACCCAGAAAGCTTTTGAAAAAACACAGATCCTATTATAAAAACACAGATCTTATACCCAGATCCTATTTTTATAAGTTGAACTGTGTCCACTCAAAATTCATATGTTGACGTTTTGGTACTAGTTCCTCAGCATATGACCTTATTTGGAAGATTTGTTAAGATGGGGTCATTAAGATGGGCACTAATCCAGTATGTCTGATGTCCTTATAAAAAAGGGAAATTTGAATATAGAGACATGTACAC